CCCCCCAATGCAGCCGTCAAACAAACTTACATGAAGGAATTTTGAGGCAGCACGGCAAATTGGAAACACAGCATTGATTAGTTTACAGTATGAAGGCCAACTTGGTAGTAAGCAGTCGACTATACATCCAGCAGACACAGATCAATGTTACTGTTTATTTGAAGTTGTGTTTGTGTCCTTTTGTGAGCCCTATAGGTGGTGTGTAGTGGGAGCTTTTGTCTTAATTTGCTGAGAACTGCAGAAATCAGTGATGAACTCACATTGAAACTGTAGCTATAAGGACCTAAACCCTTTGTCACTGAGCATAGCTGTGTTTAGCAGCAGTACTTCTGTACAGTAAGGTACACAGTCAGCCTTCCCCCTTCACTGAGAAAAGGGTTGTTTGTTTTTACACAAAATCACATTTCTTTCAAATATACTTTAGTTCTATAGAAACAACACTTTTGGAGACATGGTTAAGATAAAATCCTGTTTGGTACATGACTGGAACAACAGCTTAAAAATATCAAAATGGCTTTGCACACCACATGCACCCACATGCTACCTCAATAAGTTGTAAGTAGCACTTGCTAAAAATCACTGCTGTCCAATCCTGGAAATTAGGTTGATACATACAAACTAATCAAGCATGAAACCAAAACAAGAAGCTCAAGGAGACTAAAATGCACCAGAAAGCTGCAGAGTTGGATGGATGATGAGTCTTTGTAGGTTTGTCAACACAAGTGACTCCTTTCTCATCACATGTCCTTGAATATCAACACAGATTGAAAAAAAGTATTTTAATCCAACAACCATACATCCTGGTGCTATTAACCTATTAAATCGCCATTATTGGGACACCACAGTGGCTCAACTGGTTAAGCTGGCGACCCATGCACAGGGGCTATGGCCCTCTGCTGCAAGTCCTTCCCTCATTCTTCTCCCCCACTCTCTTGACTCTCTGTCCTATCTAATGAAGACAACAAAGCCCCCCCAAAAAGCTTTAAAAAATAAATAAAATATTGCCATTATCAGCACATACAGGTGTCATGCATGGTCACAGTTTTCTGATGTAGTCGTGTCCATCACAAAGCTCCATTTTGTATTCTTTTAGGACGGTGACTCCGCCAGAGATTTTACATGCACTTACTCACACGACTAACTTGTGAGAAGTCACTGATGTTATTTGGGGTATTTTCCATTTATCAGTGATCAGAAAGGATGAAAAGACACCTGCTGAAACTAGGAGAAGGGTGAGGGTGTCCCTACTGACTCACATGTGTAGGAATAATATGCACTGACAACAGACTGTTTAATGGGATGATAGAGTCTGTATTGGGTTAACAGTGTCATGAAAGTTGAATAAAGAACAACTCTTTTTGGTGTCTTTTAATTGCAGTTGTGGTGATCAAAATGTAGTCGATTGTGAGTTGTTTAGAGATAAACTTTTATTCATGTTGATAAGACTGAACACTTTACCACACATATCACACATATTGATGGTTATCAGGTCAACACAAACCAAAAACCTTCCTTGGACCAACCTTTGTAACGTCTCCCGTATCTTCTGACCGTACATCTGAATCAGTAGTGAATCAAGCCCCTCTTTTTCTGTTGCAGCATCTTTGTCCAATACAAGCCTTACATTCTGTGGCCTTCAAGCTCCAGAAAACCTCCAAAAAACTCACCAGTGGTGTTTTATCTTTTATCCACGCTGTGTTCCTTATGCCTGTTGTGTTACAGTTAGAGCCTGAATGCACGTCACCGGGTTTCTCTTTGAATCTTATTCACAGCTCTGATGCACCACTTTCCAGGTTGAGTGTTTTAATTGTGGTGGAGCCAAGATGAGGTTCTGTAAGTTTCAGTATGAAGTCTGTTATTCATGTACGCCACGTTTGGTGAATTCATTTTATATAGATATATATTTATATTTATATTTATGTGTGTAGATCGGTTTTAGCGGTTTCCAGTCCTGACTTCAGTTTGTGAATATAAAGAGTCTTTCATTGTAAAGTAGGGCAGAGGATGTGATTGTTGTGTTGTCAGTCAAGAAAGGTCCCTTGGGTGTCTCAGCACTGACAATGGGCCCAGCTCTCTCTCTCTCTCCAGCTCGACTCGGTCTTATTTTAAAGTGGAGTGTGCAGCTGATCAGAGACGTGTGATGTTGGGCTGATCGTGCTGTGTGTTGACTAATAAACCTGGCTGGTTTGTTTGAATCTCCTGCTGTGACAGACTTCAAAGATCTGCACCTAATGAAGCAAAAGACTCGGTGGACTGCGCTCTCACAGGGTGCACTTTACACACAACGGGCGTGAGCTTTTGTTGTAGCTCCTGCTTGCTTTGTACAGTGGGACTGTCTCCTCAGGGTTTCTGCACCTGTTTATGTGTGATTTTTAAAAGCATTCATATGTGTAGTCCACTATTCAAAATACAGTGTTCTCTTACTGTCTAGCCACCATAATTAATATAAGACAAAATCTAGGTTGTTAAATACAAAATGACATTCAGGTTAAGTATTACCTTGTACTTCCTGCAATACAGGTGTCCAATGGAGCGTGTCGTGCCTGTTCTGTATGTTTAATACATTTCCTTTCTCAGAAAACACCAGCAGGGTCAAATATTTGGTGAAATGTGACCAACATTGTTTGCATCAGTGTTTGCTAGTTATCGGTTTTCACCTTTCTTGCTGTTGTCGGCGCATTGGGGCATTTTTGACACATTGGTGCCACTAACTGTTGATCAGTGGAACAACATGAAGCCACTGGCGAAGCTGCTTCATCATTTCATCTACATGCATGCGCACCAACATGTGGCAGTCATGAGTTTGGCCATTCCTACTCGTTCAAAGTATTTCTTTAGTTTTACTGTTTTGTACAGTGTAGAACAAAACTGAAAACAAAACCATCACATAGCACATGTGTAGTTATGTAGTAAGAAAATAACGCATCAATGTATGTTTCATATTTTGGATTATTTAAATTAGATGCTGTTTGTGTCGTTGGCAGTTGTGCAGACTATCGGTAATATGATAACCAGCTTCATGCCGTAGTTTCAAGTTACCAGGTGAGCCTTGTGAAAAGATAACTGGTTAAAAAAAAAAGGACCTTCCTAATATGTTTGAGACCGTTCTGTTAGTACACAGTGAATGGTTCTGTTCAACCACTGTGATAACGCATAGAACTGCAAGAACTGCATGACGAGGTAAAAGAGAAACAACAGTCTGTCATGACTTTATGACATGAAGGTCAGTCACTCTGGAGATTTTAAGGGTGTTTCCTTAACAATCATCAAACACTATAATGAAACTGGCTCTCATGGAAGATCAAAAATTCCCTGTTTCAGAGGAAAAGTTCAGAAATCAACAATTAACAGCAGCTCAGATTAAAACATTCAAGCAGAAGACACGTCAACATGAACAGTTGGGAGGAGACTGGGTGAATCAGATCTCATGGTGAAACCACTACTGAGAGAATCCAAGAAGAGGAACAGAACTGGTTGGACCGAGAAACACCAGGAACAGACATCAGACCAGAATTCTGGGCTTTGCTTTGACAAGTCCAAATGTAAGATCTTTGGTTCCAGCTGCTGTGTCTTTGTGTAACTCAGAGAAGGTGAAGGAATGGTATCTGCATGTGTGGTTCCAACTGTGAAGCATCAGGGTGAAGCTGTGATGGTAGAGGGTGGCTTTGCTGGTGACGGTGTTGAGGATTATTCAGAATTGAAGGCACCACTTAACCACTTATGACGACCACAATGTCCTGCAGAGACACAGCATCCCATCTGGTTTGAGCTTAGTGACCCAAAACACCTCCATGACTGAGATGGTTTGGGATGAGTTGGGATGCAGAGTGAAGGACAATCAGCAAACAAAAACTCAGCAGATGTGGGAACTTCTTTCAGACCACTGGAGAAGCTGAAGGTGATGACCTCATGAAGCTGGTTGGAGAATGAAGAGTGTCCAAAGCATGGCGGCTACTTTGAAGAATCAGAATTATAAAGAATATTTTTTGCTTTTTTCTTTTTTTTTTACACTTGTGTAATGTTATAGTTTTGATGTCTTTGGTCTTTTTCTACACATAGCAAAGAGAAAGAAAAACTCTTGAATGAGCAGTTTTATCTGAACATTTGACTGCTACTGTACACGCCAAAAACAATCAGAGCCCACTGTGATATCTATAAGCTTCAGTATTTTTTCCTTCTCAAACCAAACAGGCATTAACAAAAGATTCCATTGCCAGTATTTACAATTCTTCTTTTGGGGTCTGGAAATAAAATCCTTAAATTTGAATCTGAATTTTCACGTGACGATGTGTAAATTTGTCGATGTAATAAAATGTTACTACGTGGAATCCATAAATCCAAAGGCAGCAAAAGATGATGTTTCCTTGAAGCTTCCTCTGACACGTTGGTTTTTCTGGCAAAACCCATATTTTGGTCTTTTCTCGGTTTTGTTTTGTGGCTTTGTTTGTGATTAGCTCTCTACCAATAGAACAGCACACAATTTTGAGGATTAGGGATTAATAAAACCAGAATTCAGGCAATAATTTTAATCTCTCATTTGACTTATGAAAGACAGAAAGGACCAATGTCTCTATCTGACAGTTTAGATAGATCAAATGAATCGCTCTAAGAGCAGAATTATCAAGTCAATTAATCTAAAATGGCCACATAAATCATACGATCCATTTTTAAAGCATTTGAGTGTGTACAGCCACTTTTGTTTTTACTGCCTTTTTGAGACTTTGCCAGCGGCACTAAGCTGACAGAGACTGGTTGAGCTGACAGCGCAGACTGTAGCTCGAAACTTTCTGCCCTTATGTAAGGTCTCAGTTTATAATTTGACAACTTGCTGCATCTCTAAAAAGTCACCGCAAAAATGCTTCGTAGCAACAAAGTTCTGTTGTTCCTGCATTAGTTGTCTTTGCTTTGTTTTACCAACATCCACATTTGCTGTGATGATCAAGCCATCCTTTTGCAGTTGTCATTGTTGATGCTAATCCTAATCCTTTGTTCTCCTCCAGCTGTTCGAAATGACCGGAATAAGAAGAAGAAGGAGAGCCCAAAGCCGGAGCTGGCAGAGAGCTACGAGCTGACAGCCGAGCTGGAGACCATCATTGAAAAGATTCGTAAGGCCCATCAAGAAACCTTCCCCTCCCTCTGCCAGCTTGGCAAATACACCACGGTGAGTGTGCTGGCTGCCCGAGGAGCTGGAAAAACATCTTTCTGCACATATACATCTTTATGACGGATCAATGGAAGTTTGGTTGCGCCCATTTTTCATTCCTAAACATGTTTCTTTGACTTCACGATCATGTATTTCTGACTGCACTGTGCTCCTCTGATCTAATCTTGCAAACTCACCACGGGTGCAGAGCTCATAATGATGATCAATCTCTTGTACTGTATTCTAAATCCCCCTCTAATGCAACTGGAGACCCTGAGACATAAGCCTCCGACTGTCCAGGCAAATTCTCGCCAGCAGTTCTTATTCTTCTCTCAGTAGCTATTGATTAGACCTGAAGTGTGATGGAAAGACTTTAAAAGTCAGGCATCATAATAGCACTGTGCAGCTAACACATCACAAGTTCCAGGTGTCTCTGCTGAGACAGATATGCGACGGCAACAGGGTTTGTTTACCCCAGTTTTTATATTTTGCAATGGAGAGGAGAAATTTAAAAGGAGTTGTCAGGACTGGAATATGTAGCAGCTGCCAACAGCAAACCCTCATCAGGGAAATGCTTGCATACCAGGCACCTGCCCATCAATCTGGCTGGGGCTCCCTCCAGCCTCTGGTTTTTGACATGTCTGAAAAGTAGAATAAATGCGGCTAATCCAACTTGCGCCTATATCGGCTTCCGTAAATCAAGCGATGGATTTGTGTGACAGAACTAAGCTGGGTATCAGGAATGCTTGTCAAGGCATGTGAGGGCTTTATTCCTCTTTTTTTTTGTTAGTCTTCCAGTACATGTCAAGTTCTGCGCTGTCCCCTGAACCTTCAAACGCCGGGCACTGCGCTACACTAGCAGCCCACGACAGCGCCAGATTGCAGAGGGATGCTAATCCACGCAGAGACTTGTGGAATGATGTCGTCAGTTTGACACATCAGGGCCTTGTTGCCCAGTCTCAAAGTGGCCGACCCGGTGTGGAAAGGCGGGTACAGCAGTCCTATATGAGTGCCAACCAGCTTCTCTTTTCGCACCTGAGGGACAGTATTGCACTCATGATGACTCGGTGTAAAAATTGGAGGTCATAGAAATGTCAAGATAACCTCCAGAGCAAATGCCATCACGTATTTGATGTCGGCAAACCCTTGTTCGGCTGAGTTTTGTGATGCCTTGACAGGCAAATGGTTGGAGCTGCAGGACGGCTGATAGCTCGATAGCAAGTAAAGATAGTGGTGCTTTGATTGACACGTAGCCATGGCAGCATTGTGCAGGGAGCTGACAGCGTTTAATGTGTTTGTTTTTAAGCTGACTTACATATAGATTACAGTCGGCGGGAGTGAGTCGTGATTGACACCAGCGCTCCACAAACGCTCTTCAGTGGGGAGTGTTTGGGAGCAGGAGGGGGGAGGTGTATGTTTAATTATTTGGTGGTGCCAGTTTTAGAAATCTCATGACACCTGTCAATCATGTAAAGTACTGTTTATACTAAGATAAACAAATCTGCTGGCAGCCATAATGTGCAGTAATATCTCTCTTGTTGCGGTGATGAAATTCATTCAGCCGCTGACAATAAACTTCAGAGCGAAGATGGGTAGGAGATGCTAAAATGGAGCAAATTGGCACACAGTGCAGCTATTAGCTCTCTACTGTGTGCAGCTGTACACTGCCGCCGCTGCTGTCGTCTCACTGTACTGTAAGCTTCCATCTCCATATCTGTTTTTCCCCTTTCAATCCCAACACAAAGCTCCTAATCACTGTAACCCCTCTCTACTCCACCCTCATCCCATTCCCGCTCTCATGAGACTCTTCCTGATTTTACTAAATAAACAGCCTGTATCGAGACAAAATCCACAGCTGAAAATAGGACATAATATCAAAAATATTGCTCCCCGGTTATGATATAAACCAGTGTTTGCGGTTTGTTGGAGTGGCAGTCGGGCCTCAGATAAAGCCGTAATCTGGATCAGTGGTAATTATGCTTGCTCACAGACTGTGAGAAGTTCCTCATTATTACAAGCGATTGGATCCTGATGCGCCTTTTGAGTCCTCCTCGTCGGAAACAGTAGAGGAACTCCCGCGCCCCTAGATTAGGTTAAAGCTCCAATTATGTGGTGAAATATTCAAATCCTAGTCTGCAGTGATTTAGGAGTTCATTGCTGGGTTAGCAGAGATAGCTGTGCGAGTGAGAGGGCTTAGCTCGACAATGAATAACGCTTCATTGACAGTGATGGTGATGAAAAACGAGCCTGGCAGTTTCAAAGACAAAATAAAACATTAGCGCTCGGCGAGGGGGCCAGCCAGGCTCCAGGCTCCAGGCAGCGGCGGCCGCTGCTTCTGTGCAGTACACGGCTCAGCCTGCTGATATTAGCCACATTAGAGTTTGTCCGCCGCCGCCATTCGTCACAGGTGCTGGCTGCTTTTACTGCCTTTTCCCTTTCTGCATCTGTACACACGAGCCTGCTGATGTACTGCAGAGCGCTCATTTCTACACTGCCAGCTTCTTTTCTAATGTTGCAACTTGTCTAATTTGTTTGGATAAATGTTCTTAAATGAAATTAGAATTCCCCGGCAACTTCCTTGTTTCGCTCTATTGAATTATGGGACTGGTGTAATTGACTGAGATTGGGGGTGGAGTGTGGGAGGGTGTGGGGGTGAAAGAAAAAAAAAAACTGCAAATTATCTCATCCTCTTCCCTCCTCAGCTCCCCCGTTCTCCCTCCTTTCCCTTTGCCTCTCCACCCAGAGGGAAGAACAAGATAAGTTGCTTTAATATCAGCCGCTGCCACCCTCCCCAACATATGTGCATTGAGCAAACATACTCTCTCTCTCTCACACACATGCACACACACACACACGTGCACGCTCGTGTGTTGCACTCACGCCTCCTCCTTCCCCATCAGATCGGACGTCAATCAGTGGAATGTGCGTCCGTAGTGCTGTTGTGTCGACTGCAGCTCGTTGTCTGTGATTTAAGCACGGCCCTAATGTGCCTCTCACTTAACCCCAGATCATATTTAATGATCTCTCTCTCTCTCCGCTCTTCTCTGTCTCCCTTTATCTCCCTCTCTCTCGGGTGACCACACAATAGATTGTTTGCTTGTGACAGTGTCCAGCAGCCGCGGTGCTAACTGCCTCGCAGTAACAACCTCAGGGGGATGGATGAGCTGTGAGGGAAAGGGCTGCTCCAGCTGTCTCTGCAGCCATTTCACTGTGCTGCTGGTTCAAGTCCTCTCACAGCAGAAGAGCTCCTGGGGCTGGGCTGAGACTGATGGGGAAGTTTGTCGACATATTGAGTACATATTGGATTTTCAGTAAAGGATGTCTTATTAGGACGTCAGTTTTTTTACCTGTTTGTTTTTCTTCAGTAGCTTCAGGGCTGTAAAAGCCGCCTCACTCCACTACATGTGGTCCGCCGGAGCTCAGAACCAGTATGTTGACATGTTTGTCATGTTAAACTGTTGAGGGAAGACTTTGCCATTTTGGAAAATACACTTAAGCCAGCTTTGTACTTTCCCCAAACTGCTTGTTGGATGATGGTGTAGCTTCAGACGCCTCTTAAAGTAGGAACTCAATACAACAAAAGTCTGAACACTTATTACTCAGATTCACAACTTTTATTTTTTTGAATTATTTTTTATGTCCGCCGTTATTTTTAGTCTCAAGCTTCCCTCTGTGGCTGATGTTCTCTTATGATTCAGAAATAATTCTTCTATTTGTTAGAAGGATTGTGTTGTGCTGCCTGTCTTTCTTAAAAATACCCCAAAGGTGATGTATTGGATTTAGGTGAGACAACACACTTGGCCTGATCATATCTTTGACTTTTTTCTTCTTCAGAAACTCTTGTGATTTTGGTGATTTTTGTGCTTTGGATGATTATCATGCAAAAATATTTCTTTCTTGCCGAGCTTCTGCAAAGTGGGAGTCATCTTGTCAGCAGGTATTTCTGATATATCCACAGAAGTTAATGGTTTAATTTATAAATGTCGCACTTATGCAGCTCCATATCATCACACTCCCACCTCCGTGCTCCACTGTCAGGACGATGCATTCACTGTTGTAGTCCTGACCAGGTTCATGTCAAATATGTCGGGTCCCACCGAAGGCAAAGAATGTATTTGGGTCTCTTCTGACTAAAGAATGTCCTCGGTTATAAGAGAAAATACTTTACTGTTCAACGTAGAAATTAAGCAGTGATTGAAAGGTAATACGATTTGAACTGATTTGACATTTCAGTGATTTTGCACAGGGCTACATTCACTTCTGTTGTATTCTGTAATGTGGTTAGTTATGAGCTCAGCGTAGGAGGATTACGACGCTACGGAAAAAAAGAAGCAGGTGGAAAAACTGACCACTGCTGGAACCCAGTTTTAATTATTATATTGTGAGATCCGGCAGTGAAACCCAGCGGTGTGAAAACTGTAATGACAGCCAACAGCATCGTTGTCACGTCTCTCCATTGGTCAGTTAAAGCTCAAGCTGACACACAGTGCTTCTGTTTCTGATCATGTGCAAGAAACAAATAATCTTCACTCTGGGTTTCAGTGTGTGGAGCTGTTACTCTGAATCTTGCAGAGGATTTTCAACCCTGACGAGAACACGACACAAAAAGACAATGATGTCATATTTGGCGTCAGTGGTTTGATTACGTAACGTTCCTTTGACTAGACTTCAGGTCTTTTTCTTATGCTGCGTTCTTGTGAAAGCTGCAGGGAAGACATGTGGACTGATAAAAGTTAAACCTTGAAAATCAGGATTTAGGAGCCTGATTTTCTTAGTCCTACTTAAATATTCCTTGTGTCTGTGTTTTAAAATACGTGGTTATATAATGCCCTATTTCTTCGTGAGTTCATTGCTTCCTCTGTCAGTTGAATGTATTATTTGTCTTTTTTACCATTAAATGTTGTTAAGACTGCACAGGCTGGTGGTAGGGTCTATTTTCATTTTCCAAATAAAAATAAAAATGTCAGATATAACCACATTAAGCATCACGACTGTCGTAAATCTCAAGCTTCTGCTGT